TCACACAGTAAATCTATTAATACATTAAATTTATTTATTTATTTATTTATATATATATCTATGGATACAATATTTAAATCCAACGATAATAACCTATATAATAATGTATTAACTAGATATGCTGATGAAATTAAGCCATAATAGTAAAATAATTTCACCACTATTAGTGAAATTAAGTGTAAAATTGTGAAATTTGATGAAATTAATTTCACCAGCATCTCTAGTACTAACCAAAATAATTTTAAAAGTTACACAATATTGTATACATACACATAAATTGTCTATATATACAGTACATTGGTATCAAATACAAGTTCTATAAAAGAAAAAAAAACAATCTAAAATTGTTAAATTAAGGCGAAGAAAACACATCAACATTGTATAACGGATGTGGTAAATCTTTTAATAGTTCTGTAGTTTTGGGTGATGAAGAAATAGGTGGGGTAGATAATGGAGAGTTTATTTTACTCTCGGAACTGAACCTCAATAAATTATTAGGACGTGATGTTGCTGATAAAGGTGACGTAGGGTTAGAATTTAGTGTGCTTACTCGAGATGAAGGTGATGATGGCGCACTGCTAGGTTTTATTCCTAGCGAAGGAAAAGTTTCTCGACGATCATAAGGTAAGAAAGAAGACGAGTTAGATGAAAATGTCTGCCGAGGTGATCGTGATTCTATAGATGGTGTTGAATTTGTCGAAGTTATCGACTGGTCATTTTCTGAGTTTTCAGACAGTGACAACGCAGAAAACGATTCCAATTCGCGTATATTTGGTGTTTCTGGAGTACTATTACTATTAGTATCATCCGTAATTTCTACAGGTGACAATATGGTTTCATTACTACCTAAATCAAAATTTGATTTTGCAAGGCTTGTCACATTGTAATATGCAGATGTTCCAATACTTATAGTAGCTCTTGCTAAACTATTAGCGTTACTCATGAACCTATCTTTAATCGTATTGAATTCGGTACTCCTGAACTTATTCTTAATTGTACCGAAATCGTTATTTCCCATTTTGGTGCCAATATTTTTCCACGGGTCATAATAAAGATTATCCTCATATACACTAGCACTTTTGCTAAGTGATGATGGTGATGGTGAAGGTAAGTCATCCTTCCAAACGTTTCCATCACCAACTTCGTTATTTGAGTTAACGTTTGGAGACGCTGGTCGTGAAACGGGGCTATTCGATCTCCACTTCATCCTCGCTGTAAATCCTTCAGCTTTTTCATCTCGAGTCTCATCATTATTGCCATTTAATTCTTCATCTTTTTTATTAAATAGCCCAGCCCAATATTTAACATTTTTCTCATCAGGAAATAATACACAATCATTATCTCTTTGTTCATTAGAATTATTCTTTTCATTATATAGAGGATTGAGAAACATTTCTTTATATGAATTAAAATAGTCCCAAACAGAATAAGTTGCGTTAGCGACTTTATAATCCATTCTTTCTTTCTCTGAATTGCATAAGAATGTTCCAAATTGACATGAATAACAATGATAATGTAATTTGATCAAAAAATTTTCATTGAATTCAAATTTTGTAGGAAATTGAGACAAAATTTGAAACACACAATCCAAAAATTGATGGAATACAGGAGAAATTTCTCGAATATGAGACTGCTTTGTAAACTTGCTTTGTACGGAATTAAACGTTGAGTTGGCATTATTAATAAAGTACTTTTCATTAGAAAGGTGACCTGAACGATCACTAAATTTATGACCAAACGATACCCATTCTTTTTCAATTAGAACTTGGAATCCTTTGAAAGTGCGATAATATGGATCAAGGCAAAGTTCAGAAATTGAAGTCAATTGTACCGTACGATCCCATCCATCCGAACAATGAACAAGTACATGGGAACCAGAAATGTGCACACTTTTGATTATTACAAGGGCTGACTCCAATAAAGTGGAAATGTGCTTGAGCCAGCCGGATTTATCCAGGTTATACTTTTTAACTGGTAAACCATTAGCATCAGCAGCATGTATTACTGTAAAAATTTTTTTATCATTAAATTCTTATTATCAAATCATTTTTACAAAGCATATATATATATATATATAAAATGAATATAATATACCTTCAACCATTTTCCCTAAACTTTCTCTCATTACATGAATATTATCAATACCCATGAATTTTCTTTCACAATTTTTGTAGTTTTCCACATTCTCAGTTCCAGCACCCATCGCTACATTGACCATTGCATTAGCTGTTGGACGGGCATCAATAATTAAATTTGTTCGAGTCACTCTTTCAGACAAAGTTTTAACATTTGACCGAAAAATAGCTTCAATAAGTTTTTCATCCTGTATTGAACGATTCTGTTTAAGTCCAACCATTGGCTGACTAGAGCGGGTTATAGAAACCTGATAAAATAAAAAAAAAATAATAATAATAATTACTATAAGGAAAAAAGTTTATTGTTATTCAAGTATTACTAAAAACGACTAACCTTATTATGCCAATGTAAATAACTCAACACTGGTATGCGATTTTTACTTCGAAATTTTGAAGCGTGGTTTAAAACATTATCACTAATTTTGTTTGGAACTACCAAAGTTCTCGGGTACGTTGCACAAAACTACATTTATTAATGTTTAAAATAAGAAGAGCATAATTGTACAAGTGTGT